GGGTAGGAAGGGGCTGTACCCACTTATGTGTAAGACAAGGACCTCTTACCTGGCAGCAGCCATGCCTAGCACCACAGTGGTGTCAGATTCCTGGGTCAGTCTGATGGCATCTTCTACTTTCTCTAACATGTCTGGCTCTCCGGCAAACATAGCCACTACTGGGGCGATCTTGGCAACACTGTCCATCTGCTCATCTGTAGGGGAACCTGGGGTTTAAAAAGTGGAAGATAAATTTAAAGTAATCTAAGTATGAAAGAAAAGGTGTTAACTTGTATGTTAGAATATAATAAGCTTTGACAGAAAATAAATTAATTGTAAATGAAATTTTTGGTGTTAATTCTAATGTGAAAACAATGTTTGTGATGATCAGTTTTTTAGGACCTACTGTTAAAAATGTCATACCAAGAATGCATTGATCATACTAAGTTAACTATAATAAAATCATAGGGTAAACAAGACATCATTGCTTCATAAAATGACATGTGCATAGACATCATTGCTTCATAAAATGACATGTCATGATCAAAGAAATAAATCTTGGAGCAAAATAAAAGGCAGGTCTATCAGTCAAAGAACCATGCATCACAGGTAATAAAATATGGCCAGTCATCTGGTGGCAGAACTTAAACCAAATCCATGTTGAATTAGCCAGGATCTGCATATTATCAACCCGAGTGCCACCAGTGATCGATGCGCCCCAACCCAATCTGACACAACTGAGCAAATCATGGGCAAGAAAGAGTGTTTGAAAGACTTTGAAACCTACTGTACGGGTATATATACAGGGGTATATATGTATATACCTACCTGTTTTGGCCTGGCCCTCTTCAACTCTTTTCAAGAAGTGTTTCATACTGAACTGTTTCCAGGGTCCTTTTATAGGGAAGTTCTTCCCAACACCTACATAAGGAAATTATCTGGGTTTAAATGTTCAGAATAATAAACTTTTAATAATAAACTTAAATGTGGTAATTTATAGACAACCACATCATACTAACATAATTGTATGAAATTATGTTCATTTACTGAAACTGTATATTGATTAAGACTGATTATTTTGCTAACAATTTTTCTACCCAAACAAAAAGCAAAATCCAAGCATCTGTTATATCTTAGACCACTGACATCCTCATTATTTCTCTTGCAGTGATATATTACCTGATTTCCACTTATAATCTTTGTTCAACTCATCATCATATTCTGAGCCTGGGCCAAAGAACTTATAAGTGCGCTCCTTCTGATCTTCCAAATTAAAGCCTAAAATAGACAAAACGAAGGCTAGATTTAATTTATATTGAAACTATGAAGAAAGAATTTTTACTGCATACAAACATTCAATATGCCACATCATGTAACTGTATGAATGCAATCAAACCGTGTCTTTAAATTTCAAGAATTTATACTGTGCTAATAAATAAATAAATAAATAAATAATAAGTTAGAATGAAAAATATTTTAAAAAAAACAAAACAAAATTATTATAAAAATTTTAATTCAAAAATTAATGTTCACTTCCATTAAATGTAATTTTTTTAAAAATCTAGTCCCAAAATTAATTTACAAAACAACTGGACCTTTAGACTTTACTGTGCATCTATAAGGTGAAGAGGCTTTTATCAATCATCATATATCTGACCTTTACAGTGAGAGAAAGACTCCAATAACACATAAGCCAGGTCTCCATAGCAACTCTGCCGTCCAGTTTCAATGCAGTAGTAAGGGTTGGCGGACGGTTCCCAAAACTCGACCTCCTCTCTGTCTCCTATGATGCCAGCCAATTTCACGGGGTCATAGTTCCAGTGGAGAGGCTGACCTTGTGTGGAAGAGGAATTTTGAGATTAATAATGTATCATTAATTATAATTGTATACTTAATGCATACCAGTCTTATGAAAGGTATATAAAGTGATGATAATAATAATTTGATCATGAACCTCAAAATCATTACCAATTCCACACACATTTCCAAAACTTCTTGTGTTTTAAAATCAGTTTTTTTTTTTAATTTTCAGAAGTGTTTTAATAAGTTTTCCATAATATTAATTATAGGTCAAAGGTCAATGACTTGCAAAATTTTCTCTGATATCAATTTCATTCAGCCAACCTTGTATAACTTATTTTATAATATACTGGGGGTAGGATAGTATAACTACTTTTGAAAATTTACATAAATAAAAATCTTACTTGCTGCATCAGCAACTGCCGCTCCAACTATGGCCCCTAACTTTCTCTGTCCCACAGACAACATTTACTCATGCATTGTTAACTTCAAGTTATCTCAGACCTTTGCTTTCTGACATTCTCCACGAGTCTTTAAGGTCAGCCGCAAGGTGGCGTATAATGTTTACACTGAAGCTTTCAATATGTACCAATAGATGGCAGCATCGTATGGAGAGCGAAAAAAAAAAACTTGCTCATAGCTTTCAAATCTTCAAAGACAATGTATTATTTCTTAAAACATTTTTTCATATGTTTGTGGAATTGGTAAATATGATTTTGAAGTTCTGATACTGGTCACCAGTGAGATTATCTTGGACTGTTTTCACCTCTGATTGGCTGCTGTGAGGACACGCAAGGTGTCGCTCTCAGGTCAAGGAATGTTTACAATTTGGCAGGGTGAGAGGGCACCGAGATCGTAAAATCTGGTTTGCAGAGTCCGCGGTGCTGCTTGAGCAATTTTTTAATGAAAAGGTGGGTTTTATGGAACTGCTTGAAGCAATGATCTGATCAATTTGCACACGACGGAAGTTGCATAAGCATAATTACCAGAAATCCGCATGCCTGATGTTCATCACGTATTACAAACATTGTATAGTTACTACAGTACTACTACTTTACACTGAGCAACCCTCGGACATAATACAACCAAATATATCAGTGGCGGATTTAGAGGGGGCGGGTGAGGGGGTTCCTGGCCCTCCCATCCCTTCGATTTATGAAAAAATCACACCAAAGTTTCCCTCTTTAAATGAGAATTTTGACTAGCTGGTTCAAAGTTATAAACCGTACCAAATGGCACCATTTGCCCTCTAAGACCCCATAGATTTAAGATCGATCTATCCCTTTGGGGAGTCTCACTTGATTACTGTCAGCTTAGCCGGCTTAAGCGTCTGTCCCGCCTACTGAAAGCTGCAAGGGGTAATTAACTATGGTGCGCGCTCGGCTGACTGCAATTTAGCGTGAACCCCCAGGGAGTAAGGTCGATCTAAATCTTAATATCTGGATCGATCTAAATCTCTGGGAATACACTCTAAAACACCAAAAAGGTGGGGGGGTCGGCTTCTCATCTGCAGACCCCCCTTCAAATAATCCTGTATCCACCCTGTATATTACTGCACAAGGTTCAATTGGAGACAACACATACCATAAATAGATATTGTTCATTAATTAATTAATGTTTAATGTGCAAACTAATATATTACTTTTACAGATGTATTATGTTCCCATCAATTGGATATTTACGGGTAGATTTTGATGGAAAGGAGAGATGCTGCAGAAGAATCATTTCCAACACTGGGGACATTTATCTACGTAACCCACCAAACCTATGATAATCTTAGAATCAAGCACCAGATAACAGTATTGTCTGTCCAGAAGAACTCACTGTCCAACCATTATACTGGTTATTTTACTGATTTACAAGTTGGATATTTATTGCCCACAGATTTTAGAGAACTTTACAGCTCACACAATCAGATATGACAGGTCCAAAAGGAGCGGGCGGGGCTTCCTCTGGAAACCACGAAGATGAAAGTCGTCCAGTGCTGTTGAAAGCTCAAACCTCCCGCACCTACGCCTTTGTAAGATTCATTAACAAAACAGCCCGTCACGTAGATGTAATTTGGCTGAATTACGAAGGTGCTAGAGTCCGCTATAAGACTCTGAGTCCAGAACAATGGGTGGACGTTAACACTTTTGTTGGTCACCCCTGGATATTCCGTGACAGTGTTTCTGGGGACAGACTGGTAGTGCAGCATGAGGCAGTCTATGAACCAGAGGGATGGAATATAGAGGAAGGATGGCCACCTACCAGAAGACTGGTCAGCATCACTATACCGGGTAAGTGGGAGAGTTCATAGGCATGCTATGTAAATGGGAGAGTTCATAGGCATGCCATGTAGGTGGGAGAGTTCATAGGCATGCTATGTAAGTGGGAGAGTTCATAGGCATGCTATGTAAGTGGGAGAGTTCATAGGCATGCCATGTAGGTGGGAGAGTTCATAGGCATGCTATGTAAGTGGGAGAGTTCATATGCATGCCATGTAAATGGGAGAGTACAGCGGTATAGGTATCTCTATAGCTCAAGAGATCAGATTGAATGTGATATGCAATGATTTATTTGGTTTAGTACGTTGAGGGTGAAGGCCCATTCAAAAGGCTGGATCCATGATTGCATAAATGGAATCTGATACCTCTTTCTATTTTAGTTGCTCTAAAGGAATGAAATATAAATCTGTTTACCTTCATATATTAGTACTATAACCCTATGTATGTCATACTTTTATTAAATATATATCTCCTTAACTGTACTCTCGCTTATTTTAAACCATGCAAACTTGTGTGTGTGTTAGGCTGTGTCCCCTTTAAATATTTTTGATGATTATTAAGATTATAAGAAGTGCTCTTACTACTTTTGTGCCAAAAAGAAATTTTTACCTGTGACAAAGCATTATCTTGAATTTTTCTCGTTTTTCAGTTTATCCCCTGAAGGAAAGGTGCATCCAGTTGATAAGAAGATACGTAAAAGATGAAGATATCAGTAGTTTAGAAATACCTAGATCATTACAGCAAGACATTAGAAACACCAGAAGCAACTTTGTTCCTTTGATAGACAGACAGGCGTTATTGAATGAACAGCAGCAGCAAATACAACAACATTTAGTGCAGCAACAGCAACATCATCAACACCATCATCATCACCAAGAACCACAGTTGTAGTGTTAGTTATTATGTTTATGTGTAGTGGCTGTGTGTATGTGCTTAGAGGAATCCTGTGGCTGATTTAGACAGGGGGTTAGGGGGGGTCCTGAGTCCTGACCCCCCCCCCCCCCCCTTCAGTCTTTGAAAAAAAAAAGTCATATTCATTTTCCCCTCTTGGAATAAGAATTTTGACAAGTTGAATCAATAGTTCTAAACCATACTCATAGTTCTAAACCATACCAAATGGCTTCGTTCACCCTCTAAAATACCAAGATTTTTCGGGGCCCTTCAGCGGGGTGTTGGGTCAGCTTTGCATCTGTGGACCCCCCCTTCAAATATTCCTGGATCCGCCCCTGGAATCTATGGCAAAAAATATTAAGTCTCCCCACCCCTTTTTAAAGGAAAAATGCAAAATCTGAACTGCACATTCCAAATATGGCACATGCTGCTGTTATTGATCATCATCATTATGAAGTTCGTGATTTTATTCAACATCCATCAAGTGTTCTTTTTTCACATCTTTTGCAGTCGAAATTAGTATCATAAAAACATTCAAAAAAGTTACAAAGCTGTTTAGATAACATCGTGAATGGAGGAAGTTTGAGAAATGGTGCAAAAATAAATTGGATAAAAATGTCATATTATTTCAGGTTTTTATCAATAAATGTACTTAAAAGAAGTGGGTTTAGTTGACAGACAAAAAATGGTCCATCTCTAAAGGATTATAAAGGAGGGAAATGAAATGCATTAGCCTCTTTATGTTATATAGTGTATTTAAACCAATATTTATACATGGTTGTTTATTAAAAAATAGTGCATGCAAAAAATATGGTGCTTGAAAGTGTATATTTATTTGAATAAATATCTGCAAATTACATGAGAGGAACCGTGAATCCCAGTCGCAATGCTGTTCTCCGCCAGAGCACAACTGCTGCAATCGTATCATCTATGGTGATGCAGAATAGAATAGGATAGAATATTCCAAGTTCTATCGCTGCACACACACACACACACACACAACATCAGAGACATTATTACATTTTTAGCGACAATGAGATCTTTGAAGCTTTGTTGCACAAATACCATTTTTTTCTGGGGTAAAATATGTTTTTGAGGTGACTGTGAATAAGAATAAAAAAAAATTAAAAACTAACCAAGTAAAACGAATATGTGTGCATATATTTGTGGTTAGTTTTCGTCGGTGAAAATAAATCGCCTCTATCTCTGGCATTTTACTTGTCCTAGTTCACCTGTAGCAATAAGGCAGTCGCCAGCTTTGATCTGCATCAGTGAATATGGGTTGCCGGACAGGAATAACCTTGTATCCTTAAACCGTATTTCTTACGAATACGCAACAAATATAAAAGCCGTCCTACGTTAACTTATCAGTAGATGCTGAACGGAAGATTGGGACGGGCCTACAGCAAGAAAATATGGGAACTTTTCACATTATTCGTCATGATGCAACCTAAAATACAGCTGCGTTCTATTTTTAATGTACCTAAAACATTGACAGAATTAAAGAACCAGATACCGCCAAAAAGCACCACCAATACGTCCGCTCGTGTTAAGGAGAAGGATGTTCAACTCTCGAAGAATCGTACCGTACTTCTCAAACGATAACAGTGACTCCAAATATCTTCGTGCTTATCAGAGTCTTTAATATTCCTGTCAACCTATACGGTAATTTTCGCTTAAGATTAATGGACAAAGAATGAAAAAGCATACCTCTATTTAATAGTTGTGACACTATAAAGACTACGTTCTTAGAAAATATTGTAGATTTATCTATGAATTGTTAACAAATTAATGTGTGTGTGTTCACTCACGCAAACACACATATATATAATCGTAATAGTAGAAATAAGGAATTCATCGATTTCTTCGAAATGTGAGAGTAAATTTCGATGTTGTATTCATAATTAAAATCTCTAGTAATGAACATTAATGACTTCTCTACGACAGCCATTAGCCGCTCCTTCCCTTGGGAATTCTAGATGGCGTTAATCTATTTACTTTTAATCTTTTTATTACACTGATGTATCTTCAACTAAATTGTTCCAAATTAAAGGATATATATAGTTTTACGCTTAGAGGTGTGTTACATGTGACGCCATTAGATTGATCAGCTCACTCATCGCGTGGAGGTATTTTTCCGTTAAAAATGACGCAGCCCCGTCAACCAACCTTGCCACGTCATAGCGTATTGGGACATCATGTTAATAGGCATCATAGGAGCTAAAACGTCTGGATAAGTGCGTAGAACCGTGTATTGGTGGATCTCCACTGGCATGGAAAAGAAAAGACAAATACTACTGATGACGTCAGATTACCCCTCCCAAAATAAATAAATAAATAAATAAATAAATAAAAAATAAAATAAAATAAAATAAAATAAAATAAAAATAAATAATTAATTATATAAATACATAATATCCCTTTTTTTTCTGATCAAGCATTCACCGCCTATCTAACATTGTGTGTTGGTGCAGTGGTATTTCATCAATGAAAGAAGCTTACACCCCTGTTTTTTCTCACCTGAGTGTCTTTGACAAAACTTCGTACCAAATACATTTACTGAACTTAGAAAGTTGTGTACACATTGAGGCATAATATTTTCACTTATCGAGGATGGTAACCTAAAATATTTAACAATATCTCATGGCTATTAATATTAATGTTTCGACAATTTATGAGCAATGTCAATATAATTTCATCATTCTCATATTCCAAAAACTTACACCGTCTCGGAACTGGCGGAATAATTGATGTAATTCGTTCCAGATGATTAAATTAGATTATTATTTTTTTTCTTTTCATATAAAAACGATCGAGTTCCACGCAAATAACGAACTTTCATATTTTTCTGGTGACTGGATTAATTTCTTTTCTGGCAAAGCTCCAAGGCTTATCCCAATTGTCACAGGAAGATGCTTATTACAACATTTAAACATAATAAATACATTATCTATTGATGATAGTAATATTTCCTTAGGGGAAACGCTGTGCGTTTTTTGCAAGCCCGGGAGTGTCTTTGGTTGTTTTCAAGTTGTGTTCGATAAAAGACGACCGGAAGTCAGTATTACTCTTCAGAATTTCAGACTGAGAGTATTAACACACACACACACACACACACACACACACACACACACAGAGAGAGAGAGAGAGAGAGGTATTGCCAGAAGAAAATAAAATAAAATGAGTGGTTCTTCAAGTAACAAAGATCTTGTCAAACATCCAACTTAGTGGACCACAGCTCTCTGACAGTGATGTAGCGCCCTGGTGTATGTACTACAGAAACACTGCCACGCGTGAGGTGACAATATCAGGGATCTTCTCCCAGTTTTCAGTGCTTCCCGTCAACCCTTGGGGAAAAGTCGAATATGATGATGTATGTGTTGTGAACAGTGCTCTACACGGGTACCGTAGAATAGGCCATTTGCAGCTAGATGACTAGATGGTGATTTCTTTTGTTTATTGAAGAACTTGCCCTCCAGCATTCTTTTGCTTACCACCAACTCTTCATGATCAGTAAACAAAAAAGTCAACTTCAAGCTGCAAAAGGTCTATTATGAAGGAAAGGGGGCCTGTTCGTTTTCATCCCAGAAGTTCTTAAAAATTACGCCCTCCTCTTTACAAAAAAACCCGATTTTTTCCGAAATTCAGGGAACAAAATAACTGAAATTAAAAATTATTTAATTTCAAGGATTTAACCGACCTAAATAACGAATTTTGTAATAACAACGTATTTCTTAGACTATTTAAAAGCTCTGAATGGCTCCGTCTCTTTTCGATCAACATCAACAATCAAGCATCTTGCTTGCCCTTTTCTCTCTATTGGCGGCAACCAGAAAGCTAAATGAAACGGCTCCGAAATTAAATTACTAGGCCCCTGGCGCGTGTGGCAGCCGGGGAGACCATTAGAGGATCATTTGGCTTTGTTTTCAAGTGGGGTCGGCCATATTTGATCCGCGGGCTAGTTAGTGAGCGGATCATCTGTTGTGACAGCGGCCATTGTGTTGCATGCCAGCATTAATTAAAAGAAATTAGTCAATATCATCATAATTATAAAAAAATGAAAATAAGAACGCCTTTTGTGTCCTTTTTAAAGCGAAGTTAGTTTAAAAACAAAATGATATACACACGTTTTGACGTGGATGTGGGCATTTCCGGTAAATAGACCAATGTTTACTAAATATTAGATTTTGTTGACCGTCATAAAGGTAAAACACCATTAAGGCTCCATTGGCAGCTGCCATACGCTCACAAGGCAGGATAAACCCAGTGACTCGCGCTTAGTGCGTAGCGGTCGCTGAATTATTTATCATGTAGAAGCGGCTCAGGCATTTCGAGGAATTGGTCACGCGAGTTTTCGCTATAAAACTCTGATAGATGAACCATAGTGGATGATACTGTAGTGGAAGCAGCTTGCGATTCTACGCGTTTAATCGCCATTAAGAGCTTGTTAAGTGCCGACAATATATCCTATAGCAACAAAGGTGGAACGACATGACGGCGTGAAGATTCATTTTTTTGTCGTTGTATAGAACAAATATTCAGGGAAATTAACATTAGTTTCTGGTAATATTGGTGAAATATATCCAGAAGTGAAAACAGACCCAGCCGGGGACGTAGTGAAGCACGCGACATTTTTCACCTTTGATTTGGTATTGCTGCCTTTGCGGCAGACGCGTGTATGTCGGGAAAAGTTAGAAATAGTTTTCTATTTTGAGGTGTTGATTGACAGTTGAAGAGGAACTTCGAAGGTTACTGCAAGACGTGGATTGGCTTGAAAGCCGTGTTTCTTGTACTAGCTTTTTACTGAACCCAACCACTCCTACGCAGTAAGCATTCTCAACGCTGAGCATTCAGTGCACTTGAAGTGAGTTGATTTATTTGGTTTGAGGACGCGGGCACTGTTGAATTTAACGAACGATGACTTACCAATTCCGGGGTCACTTTAGACAGCTAAGGATCCTGAACGCAGTCGAAAGTGCTTTGTTTTTCATTGTGCTGCTTTTATCACACGACCTTGCAGATGGAAACATTTCACTCAAAGGTGAGAATTTTACATCATAGTTAACCAATTTTTTTTTATTTTTTCTCATTTACTATGCTTGCTT